TATGTAGTTGGTTAGGCAGGTGACTGTGTTAGTGAACTCAGTCAGTGTTAAACAAGTCATCTTTGTCCTATGTAGTTGGTTAGGCAGGTGACTGTGTTAGTGAACTCAGTCAGTGTTTAACAAGTCATCTTTGTCCTGTGTAGTTGGTTAGGCAGGTGACTGTGTTAGTGAACTCAGTCAGTGTTTAACAAGTCATCTTTGTCCTGTGTAGTTGGTTAGGCAGGTGACTGTGTTAGTGAACTCAGTCAGTGTTTAACAAGTCATCTTTGTCCTATGTAGTTGGTTAGGCAGGTGACTGTGTTAGTGAACACAGTCAGTGTTTAACAAGTCATCTTTGTCCTATGTAGTTGGTTAGGCAGGTGACTGTAGCAAGTGAACTCAGTCAGTGTTTAACAAGTCATCTTTGTCCTATGTAGTTGGTTAGGCAGGTGACTGTGTTAGTGAACTCAGTCAGTGTTTAACAAGTCATCTTTGTCCTATGTAGTTTGTTAGGCAGGTGACTGTGTTAGTGAACTCAGTCAGTGTTTAACAAGTCATCTTTGTCCTGTGTAGTTGGTTAGGCAGGTGACTGTGTTAGTGAACTCAGTCAGTGTTTAACAAGTCATCTTTGTCCTGTGTAGTTGGTTAGGCAGGTGACTGTGTTAGTGAACTCAGTCAGTGTTTAACAAGTCATCTTTGTCCTGTGTAGTTGGTTAGGCAGGTGACTGTGTTAGTGAACTCAGTCAGTGTTTAACAAGTCATCTTTGTCCTATGTAGTTGGTTAGGCAGGTGACTGTAGCAAGTGAACTCAGTCAGTGTTTAACAAGTCATCTTTGTCCTATGTAGTTGGTTAGGCAGGTGACTGTGTTAGTGAACTCAGTCAGTGTTTAACAAGTCATCTTTGTCCTATGTAGTTGGTTAGGCAGGTGACTGTGTTAGTGAACTCAGTCAGTGTTTAACAAGTCATCTTTGTCCTGTGTAGTTGGTTAGGCAGGTGACTGTGTTAGTGAACTCAGTCAGTGTTTAACAAGTCATCTTTGTCCTGTGTAGTTGGTTAGGCAGGTGACTGTGTTAGTGAACACAGTCAGTGTTTAACAAGTGATCTTTGTCCTATGTAGTTGGTTAGGCAGGTGACTGTGTTAGTGAACTCAGTCAGTGTTTAACAAGTCATCTTTGTCCTATGTAGTTGGTTAGGCAGGTGACTGTGTTAGTGAACTCAGTCAGTGTTTAACAAGTCATCTTTGTCCTGTGTAGTTGGTTAGGCAGGTGACTGTGTTAGTGAACTCAGTCAGTGTTTAACAAGTCATCTTTGTCCTGTGTAGTTGGTTAGGCAGGTGACTGTGTTAGTGAACTCAGTCAGTGTTTAACAAGTCATCTTTGTCCTGTGTAGTTGGTTAGGCAGGTGACTGTGTTAGTGAACTCAGTCAGTGTTTAACAAGTCATCTTTGTCCTGTGTAGTTGGTTAGGCAGGTGACTGTGTTAGTGAACTCAGTCAGTGTTTAACAAGTCATCTTTGTCCTATGTAGTTGGTTAGGCATGTGACTGTGTTAGTGAACTCAGTCAGTGTTTAACAAGTCATCTTTGTCCTGTGTAGTTGGTTAGGCAGGTGACTGTGTTAGTGAACTCAGTCAGTGTTTAACAAGTCATCTTTGTCCTATGTAGTTGGTTAGGCAGGTGACTGTGTTAGTGAACTCAGTCAGTGTTTAACAAGTCATCTTTGTCCTATGTAGTTGGTTAGGCAGGTGACTGTGTTAGTGAACTCAGTCAGTGTTTAACAAGTCATCTTTGTCCTATGTAGTTGGTTAGGCAGGTGACTGTGTTAGTGAACTCAGTCAGTGTTTAACAAGTCATCTTTGTCCTGTGTAGTTGGTTAGGCAGGTGACTGTGTTAGTGAACTCAGTCAGTGTTTAACAAGTCATATTTGTCCTATGTAGTTGGTTAGGCAGGTGACTGTGTTAGTGAACTCAGTCAGTGTTTAACAAGTCATCTTTGTCCTGTGTAGTTGGTTAGGCAGGTGACTGTGTTAGTGAACTCAGTCAGTGTTTAACAAGTCATCTTTGTCCTGTGTAGTTGGTTAGGCAGGTGACTGTGTAGTTGGTTAGGCAGGTGACTGTGTAGTTGGTTAGGCAGGTGACTGTGTTAGTGAACTCAGTCAGTGTTTAACAAGTCATCTTTGTCCTATGTAGTTGGTTAGGCAGGTGACTGTGTAGTTGGTTAGGCAGGTGACTGTGTAGTTGGTTAGGCAGGTGACTGTGTAGTTGGTTAGGCAGGTGACTGTGTAGTTGGTTAGGCAGGTGACTGTGTAGTTGGTTAGGCAGGTGACTGTGTAGTTGGTTAGGCAGGTGACTGTGTTAGTGAGGACCAAACTGCATGAATGTCAGAGCTTCATATCACTATTCTTTACCTCAAAGGATGTAGACTAAGATCTATACAAAATTATGTTTAGTATGTGTGACTTCATGTTTACACTGACAGCCATACAACAACGTGCTATATTACGGAACATAATAGTTCCTCAATACGATTGGTGACATCAGCTTATGTATACTCAACATGCTCTTCGGGAACAACTTTTGTAGTTTCTGTTCAACAAATATATTCATATAATATCCTCATTAGATGAGAAAGGTCTGTTAATAACTACCTCAGTACGTCAGTCACAATGATAAACATGACGTGAGAGATTTCTGAGGTTTTTAATGAACCTGTGGCGATAACAAGAGTTAGTCATCACTGATAAATTGGCTGATTAATGAAAGGTGATTGTAAGGATGTGTCAAATAGATACTAAGGTAAATTCATAGATTACTGTAGACTGTCACTGTAGTATCTACACGAATCGAGTCAATACTACGATAGTTTGGATGTGCTTTTCTTCGTCTTCGTCTCTAGGATGGGTTGTACTGAGGATATCCTGTAACAGGCATGCAATCAAAATCTCTGACTTATCCCACTGTATACTAAAACGCTAAGTTGAAGATTAAAGGGTCTAAATGATGAGAAAATTAACACTTCTGTATTTGTTCGTGCTTAAGAATTCCCAGGGGTTTCCCCAGGAATGTTGAAGTAGTCCGTCAGTGTTTACATCATTTCAAGTATGCAGTCTCGTGAAAAAGGTATGAACGTCAAAACGTGTTGTTCATACATGTATGAACTTCGGTTTCGCGGTCAAGTGCCTGACTTCTCGTCCACTGGAAAAGCTGCATACGGTGTAAACTTCAAATTAAAAAATTATTAGAAAGTAAACTCAGCCTATATGTGACTTGTCAAGGTGTAATTTCATTTTGAGGCCTGGAACTTACTAGAACATGCATGCATGCCATATTCTGCAATAAACAAAAGACTTGGAAAATTGACTCTTTCGAATAAAGTTTTTATTTGTATTGAAGTTGGTATTTCCACTATTCCAAATGTGTTCCAAATTTTGTTCAATATTGTTCAAATTAATTTTGTCGAAATTGTGTGTAGAAGATACACTTATTAATCTTAATCTCTGAATGTAAAACAATGCCTAGCAGAACATGAACATTCAAATGGTAAATCATCATGTCTGGTGATGTTGTATTGCAAATTTCACATTTTATTGACCATTTTGCTATCACCTGTTCATTTACCTGAAGGGATACGAGGGAAGGCAGTCAATATTGAGACATAAATGTGTAGTTTAATTAATGCGAGCAAAGAAATTAAAATTGTATCTTCAGATAACCCATTTTCTCTCAGATTTAGTCAGATCATTCTTTACAGTTGTATCTTTCAACTTTGTACATATCTGTTAACACTACAATGAATGCATCCAGTGACAAGATATGGTTTTGATACATGTACATATGTTTTGGCCATGAGAATAATCTGATTTAAAAGTAAACTGCTTGGATTAAGGCATTATGATATTTCCATTGTTGTCAAATAATGTTTCCTGGTAAAGTGCAAGTTAATGAAAACTGTACATTCCAATATACATGCAGTAGCTCTCCGATTCATAAAAAGCAAATGTCATCATCAACTAACTAGCATCTTTTGATGTACTAATATTGTTGTTTTAATTTGATATGTTTGTCTTATTTCACCAGATGAAAGACAGCCAGTGACATTACCGATGTTGTTTACATTGTAAATCCCATTGTTAGTTTTTTAAAATAATTTGGAATTTCGGAACTGGTGATTTAGCCATTTAGGTTTGGAAAGTATTTCTTTAATGTTTTCAACATTTGTTTTGTGTTGGTTCTTTTGTCGGCCCAACAAATATTCAGGGCATCTTTCTAAGAAGGATTATGCATATAAAGAGTTGTGTGTTAATATGGTTGTTAATATTTGATTCGAGAAGGAATAATTGTTTTATTGGAAGTTACTGGGGTTATCTTCTTTGAGAGGCATTTAGAAGTTGGAGCACTAAGTGAGGATAAGATATATGGATGAACAACTTCTTTATTACAATTAGGAGCGACGTTTCGCTGTAGGTTCTAACACCGTTATCAAGCTCTTCTTTTGGACAAATATTGAGTGTTTCGAACTATAGTACCAAAATCCGGCGTAGTAAGTGCCCTGGGCACTTAGAAAATTAACAAAGGGTGGTAATTATTAGAAATATACACAAGTTAATGTTGTTTTCAGAAATTGAGTGGTAGTGAAAAAACTTAGTTCAAACATTGATGAAACTTAAATGTTTATGATCAAAGTTAGTCATCACTTTTATTCCCTTTTATGTTACTGTTTCGTGTCATACACAACAAAATACTGACTGTAAATTTTCGGTATAATAGTGGGTGATTATAAAGGTTTATTACAGATAAAGAATTGATAATTGTCCTTATTAAAGTTAATTTTCTCTTTCCCCAACTGCCCAGACTTCTGTTAATATTTTCTAGTTGTTTCTAGCATTGATAACCCATAAGTCATTTAAACTGGTATTTAAACTGTGGACCGGCCATGTTCCTTGCTTGTTTTCTTTTCATGGACCCTATTCATATAGCCTTAGTTCTGTGGCATGTATTTTAAGCTCCACGTATTTGTCGTTTCAGTTGTATGGCTGGGGCTATAATGGAAATGGTCAGCTGGGGCTGGGCAACAATGTGAATCAACCCAACCCATGCAAGGTGGCAGGTGCCCTCTCTGGTCTCATCATCAGTCAGGTGACTGGAATTTACTGACAATGTCCTGAATACATCCATGCACTCAATGTTTGTTTTTAGATCAAAATGTATACTGTAAATGATGCAATTAATGTGTAACCAAATCAACACGAGTGGCGACTCCTGCCAGGAATAGAAATAAGCACTAGCCAGGACCAGCTTTGCCAAAGCCAAAAGTGTCTCAAGGGCAAGCAGAATGTCATACACTTTGTGGGATTTGCTAAATGTTATCACCATTCAGGCTTGTGGACTTTCTTGGTTTATTTCTAACTCTACCTACCCTAAAATGTGTCATGAAATTAATGTAAATAGCCCAACCTTTGAACTTAAAAACACTCAATAGACAATAGCAAGACTGTAGAGTTCCATCATATGGTCAATAATGTGGTTTGCTTTCTTCACATTTGTTTAATTCATGCGTGTGTTATCCAGACATCCAGATCCAAAAATAACAAACAAGTCATTTAACTTCATGAGTTTACTCAGCAGCCATTTTTACAAGATCCAGATCATGGAAGCATTCCTTATGCAGGAATATACATATTATAAGGAGCATTAATTATAATATTGCAAGATCCCGTTATGTTTGGAAGGTCAAGTACACTGGTATTGGTGTGAATCAATTAATGAACTTTAACTTCAACAATAGTTAAATTATGATAAATACTCAAAGAATTAAAGTCAACAATGTGAAATACTTCGCTATGGACTTATTCTATTCTAACCAGGACAATTTTATTTTAGATCTCCAATCTGAAAAGGGTTTGAAAGTCAAAATATGATTAATGGTGCCTATTATGCTGATTTGCTTCATCACCTGAGAGATTCTATCAAAGAAAAGCAGTGAGGAATGCTGACTGCTGGAGTTCTACTACTTTATGACAATGCCTCATCTCACACCTCTTGACACGCAAAGTCTGCTGTGCAACAATGTGGATTTCGAAGAGCTACTTCACCCTCAGACCTGGCACCAAGAGATTTCCACCTAAACTTGATAGAACATCTTCGTGGGAAGCGATTGTAATGCCATTACATAAGAAAGGAGATACAAACACTTATCTTAGTATTTTCTTACAGATTACTTAAAGTTCAAATCAGGAGTTCAAGCTGGTCACTTTACATGCTTTACCTTCCACCAATTAATTGAGTCTTTTCACATGATTTCTAAAGCCCTGGACAACAAGCAAAACTTGTGAGTTGTGCTGTATCAAAGGCCTTCAAGCACATTAGGCATATCGCACTATTGCTTAAGCTCTATGGTGTGCAAGGAAACATTATACAATGGTTGTCTAGTTACAAAAGTAATCGCAGTTATAAGGTGTTTTTAAATGGTGCCATGTCGAAACCTAAAATGTTGACAACTGGTGTCCCACAAGGATCTGTATTGGGGCCTTTCCTGTTTCTTGTATATGTTATAATAGTCCTTGAGTAGGTGAGTTTACGTGGTCTAGTATAACAATACTGTCTTCATTCCCACAGTTTCTGTATTTTTGCTTTTCCATTCACCTGACTGTTTTCGGGGCTCGACATTCAGTGCCCTTTGTCCCAATCAACAACATACTTGTTACATTCCACAACAACAAAATTGTGGCCCATTGTCTCTCAGCAGTTGGTTGGGGATTCCATACCTGGCAAAATGTGGCTGTAACCTGTTCATTACTGTGGTTCCTCTGGTATGACAGAGAATCCACTTGCCAGAAATTACTGTAATAATCACAGTGACAGTATTCACAATATTCCCTGCCATAAAGGACCTTATGTTATCTGGCCAACAACTCAACAGAACTTTCTTAAGCTTTTGTAGAGTTTCATTCATTTCTTTTTCTTCTATTATCTGTCTTAAGCTCTCACCGGTTATTTGCAGAAATTTAGTCTTATTTTCACCTGGCCGAATTTTTCCTCACAATCTTGCTCTATGATTGATAGATGAGATATCAGCAGTGTATCCACTGAGGTAACTTCTGCTTCCTTTCTTGTACTTAGTTTTAGCATTGTATTGTTGCATCGCCAAGATCATAGCCTGTAGTCTTCCGGGAGCACATTGAAGTGGTTTGCTGGTTATTGCCTCTGATGATCACATTTTCCCACCAAATGTGTATGTGTTAAGTTGCTAAATTCAACAGTTAACAACCTGGTTCCAGCTGGTGCCATGGCCCAACTACTGTCTGCATTAACACAGCACCTAGACCAGTGGAGCTTGTGTTCATTGTTGTAAGCTAAGACAGTACCTTTGCGGACCATTTTTTATATTTCTGTGAAAGTCTTTCCTATTCTTTCATACCTTATCTCTAATGACCTGACCAAGAAACTAAACTTCCTTTCTACATAAGTAATGTGTTTATTCCTTTATACCCAGTTTCTGACAGTGTTGCATGAGGCCATCAAGATTTCTATTCCATTGTCAAACTGGGCTGTCTTCTTGTCATCCCCTTTTCTGTCGATAAGAATGTCATCAACAATACATGTTATGCCTGTTGGCCCTTCCAATTCTTGGTGTAAGCATTTTTATAAGATTTCTGGAGATGCACTCACTCTGAATGGTAGTCTGGTCTGTCTGAACATACCCAATGATGTTCCAAAAATACAAAGCAAACTGGATTCTTGGAGCTCAAGATGCCAACTCTTCCCTCTGTGAGATAAGCACTCTGTTTCGATGTGAAACACTTGGAGTCACTTCAGGATGTCCCTATAAGTGAACTTTACCCGGTAATTGAAGTTTTCTAAATAAGATCCAATTATAGACTGTACTGTCATTTCTTTGACCAACTGTGATCCTGGCTCTGAAAGTACATTCACAGAAACAAAGTTGCCCCATCTGCTGAACTGCTTTTTGTTCATCCTGACAAAGTTACATTATAAGTTGTTGTGGGATCTCAAGGGGCACATGGGGTTTTATGCGTCCTGTTTTATACATAAAACTTTTTAACATAAAAATTCACGGGGTTGAGAAAGTGATGTAATAACATGACATCACAACATGACGTAACAACAACATGACCTCCGGTCATTAGGTGACCCTGACCTTACAATGTAAAAAGTGACATGACGCTCATCAATAAAGTAGGACATAGCACATTGCAATTGATCTCATCTAGTACAATCACAAATTCAACACTGTATGACTTCTCGTTCCAGGGATTCTGAATAAGCAATCTTGCCATCAGGGGAACTAGGGCATCATTCCATATACACAGAACTTTTGCAATGGGTGTGATATCACAATTTAATTTGAGCAGTCTGTGAGTTAAAATATTTTGAATAATTTACTGATGCCTTGCAATGTTAAAATATTTTGAATAATTTACTGATGCCTCGCAATGTATCTGGAAATTCACTGTGACATTCTATAAAACAATCACTTGTGCAAATATATCTGAATATTTACTCTTTCCAACTTCTTTGCACACTTCCACCAGATCCACTTGATTAAGGACACACTACTGATTATCTCTAGGGATTCGTCATCATCATCTACATCACTGCATCAGATACGACATACACTATGACTTAACACAAACTGCATGTTTACCCCATGCTGGGTATTTCCACCTGCCCATTATGTGTTTGTGTCCACAAAACTTGCATAACTTAAGTTATCCAGCTTTGTGTGACTTGTATGGTCCCTTGTTGGTATGGTCCCCGAGCTTCGGAACTCCTGCACAATGTCATACATGCTTTCAAGTTTAACTTGTGTGAACCATGTGCTTACTGCAAAAGCACTGGTCAGCATGTCTTCCACCACGTTTATTCCTGCACCCACTGGTCAGCATGTCTTCCACCACGTTTATTCCTGCACCCACTGGTCAGCATGTCATCCACCACGTTTATTCCTGCACCCACTGATCAGCATGTCATCCACCACGTTTATTCCTGCACCAACTGATCAGCATGTCTTCCACCACGTTTATTCCTGCACCCACTGGTCAGCATGTCATCCACTACGTTTATTCCTGCACCCACTGATCAGCATGTCTTCCACCACGTTTATTCCTGCACCCACTGGTCAGCATGTCTTCCACCACGTTTATTCCTGCACCCACTGGTCAGCATGTCATCCACCACGTTTATTCCTGCACCCACTGGTCAGCATGTCATCCACCACGTTTATTCCTGCACCCACTGATCAGCATGTCATCCACCACGTTTATTCCTGCACCCACTGATCAGCATGTCATCCACCACGTTTATTCCTGCACCCACTGGTCAGCATGTCATCCACCACGTTTATTCCTGCACCCACTGATCAGCATGTCATCCACCACGTTTATTCCTGCACCCACTAATCAGCATGTCATCCACCACGTTTATTCCTGCACCCACGGAAGCAGCAACAACGGTGAAATCTCATCATCTGAGATAAATTCTCAGCAGCTGCAACCATGTTTCAGTTTGTGTTATCAAGACGTCCAGATCGGATAAGAAAATGAGCCATACTACTTCACTACTCAGTAGCCATTATGATAGTTTTAACACTTAACACACCAGACATACAATTTGTTTAGTGATTAGTAGTAGGGAAATTTTACTCAAATAACTGCATAATCTATGGTTGTATACAAAGAAGTATGTAACAAACATGGTTATTGGTAGAACTGGGGTTGTGATAAAAAAAATTAGTTTGTCCTAAACACTTAAACCTGTTAATAAGCTACAATTATTTTCGTTGTTGTTTATGATTCCAAGTTAGCCGCCTTTAAGCTGCAGTTTAACATGAATACCCCCTCCATACTCAGCACACTGACTCTGAGCTGACCAGTCCTTGTTTTAGGCAGGGTAACAAAAGTACCATCTTTTAACGTCTTTTGGTATGATGCGGCCAGGGATCAAACCTCCAACCTTCAGTTTTTCGGGCAGGCGCTTCACCATTAGACCACGGAGGCGGTCTCATTTAACGACAGAGACTTTAGAAGAAAATGTCCCTGGAATTCTTTTGCAAAAGCTATTTGATATATGTTCAAGTTTGTGGGATATTTTTATCCATATTTTGTAACACAGGGACCCAGTGAATGCTGCATTGTGGGACAGATGGCCATGTAAGGACTTTTCCATAGGAATATGCATGTATGAAAATCTCCATTATGGTGTGGCAATTCCCAGTACATATTGTCGACAAGGAAACTTGTTTGGGATTGACTGATTACAGTGCGGCATCCAAAGACAAGGAAGAATGACATGATTTGAACATTGACATGTCTTGATAAGTTGCAGACATTGAAATGAAACACTTAAAAGTGAAGGATAGGTCATGTATGTTATAAAAATAGAATTATCTATATCGATGGTCAGAAAAATAAGACACCTTTCTATAGTGGTGTATCTGGCCTCAACTAGTTCATGACTAGTGGTATTTTGGAAGAATTCAATTTAAATCTTGCAGAAACCGTACTGTGTGTAAGCAGCCAGTGAAACGGTATGACTGATATCATGTGTAGTACAAGCTGCCACAAGGAATAGTAAACCGATGTCTCTTCATACCATGCAGGTGGTGTCGGGCTATGCCCACACTATGGCTCTCACAGATGAAGGTGTACTATATTCGTGGGGAGCCAACTCTTATGGTCAGCTTGGCACCAGCAGCAAGGCCAACCAGGTATACCCTACCAGGGTGGAGAGAACTGAAAGGTCAGTCAATCAGCATGGTTAGAAATATGGCAGGAAAATGTTTATGCATGATGTGAAATAAACATAAGTAAAGCCTTATTGAACCATGACATCCATCACTAAATTCTTGATACAAGAGCAATATCAGAATGTAGTATTATTAAAACATGTATCTGCTATAATCATGATAAAACTGTCCATTTTTTCATTTCTTGATACATTTTACTCTTGCAGTCAATATCTAACATGGGATAATTTTATGAAGCCCAATTTTAGGGTTTCCTGCCATGCTAATGCTGTAATATTAAGTGGATCCTTGAAGATCCGGGTTAGAATAAGTCTTCAGCAACCCATGCTTGCTGTCAGAGGTGACTAATGGGATCTGCTGGTCAGGCTCGCTGACTTGGTTGATGCATGTCATCGTATCCCAATTACATAGATCGATACTAATGATATCAATCACTGGATTGTCTGGTCCAGATTCCATTATTAACAGTCCGCTGTCATAGAGTTGGAATATTGCTGAGTGTTATGTTAAATGGCAACCGAAAACAAACAAACAAACCATAGTAAGTGATACAAAACTATAGTTTTCGACTCAGTGACCTGATGGTGGACATTTGGTGGTGTGTCCCCAGGTTCGTGGAGATTGCAGCCAGCCACTACACACACATCTCGGCTGCCATGAGCCAGACAGGGAAAGTATACATGTGGGGTCAGTGTCGAGGTCAGTCAGTCACCTCACCCATGCTGACCCGCTTCAACTGTGTGGATGATGTATTTGCCACATTTTCAGCTCCTCCAATCAGCTGGCGGACATACAGTGTTGGTGAGTGACCACTTACTCACATCTACATAATGTAATTACTCCAGGTAACCTCTTGAGCTAGTATACCAGTATGACCTTGCTGATCTATAAGGAATGCTACACTTGTTCTTGTTATTTAAAACATTTTGGGAAGCAGTGGATCTTCAATGGTGTCTGACTGAGTGAAAGCAAGGGCAGTTATCATTGGCTACGAGTGTTGAAACAATGGTATCTAATGAGAATGATTGTTTGCCCACATTATATAAGTAGTAAATGTAAATTTATAACCATTTTGTGTTCAACAGACCAAACTGGCACCGGTTGCAAATCCACTTGTCAGTGAATATTAATTTATGCCCAAACACGGACATCCTCTTTCCAGTTAACCATTTGGAATGCAGTATTTAAATTCTGAATGTCAGCTCACTTGAATTCTCTTGTACTCGATAACTTTTTTAGCTCACAAGATAAAAGTCAAGTGAGCTCATGTGATGGCATGACTGTCCAGCCTTGTTTGTTGTTGTCTGCATTGTCTGTGAACATCTTCACGTCAGAAACCACTGGACCAATGAAGCTGAAACTTCACATGCTTGTTCCCATCAATGACAACATCTGAATGTGTTCAGGGGGCTTGAATCCGATTTTCAAAAATGACCGCCTTGGCAGCAGTCTTAAAAAAACCATTAATGACATTTCTCGGACATGTTTTTTCAAAATCTAGGGGAATTTGGTATAGCTTTAGTAGTCAGGACTTGCATATATGTTTGCGATATTATGAAAATTAACCTTGAATCTCAAGCTCAATTTCTACTTAATGATCTGGTTTATCCAGTGACTTTGACTACGACAACAGGTGTTTTTTAACAGAAAGATCTGAGAGGTGTTACATTTACATTTAAATTTTATACCAGGATTGGATGAGTGATATGAATCCCTGGCACAGCTGTGTGTAAACCGAGATAGAAGAACACCTAGTATTCATCAACAACAGCAGTTATGTGATTAAGATATACCTGAATCTTCTAATCTGAATGGACAACTAAATCATAGCTCTGGAGGATTCTCAGGCTCAAGATGTCAATCCCCTTTGGAATATTCCAAATAAACTATGAGTGACACATTCATCAATACCCAAATCTGCAGGGAATTGGACCATCCTGGATGATCCCTTTCTACAGACCAGGGACCGACTGCCCCTGATTGCTGATCCACCGACGATATCCACACCGCATCACTGTATCCGGCCAGCCAGCTTCCAATCCTTTAGGAGAACATTGGTATATTGCTTGTAAAATATGCAATAGAATGTCTCAGTCTGGTTCCCTCGACTCCCGGTTCTACTCGCTAAATTTTCTTGTGCCTAAGGAGAGCCACAAATTTCGGCTCATTTTCAAAATGAAGGTATTCAATGCGTTATACCTAGAGGAACCTCCTACAACATCTCGAGTTCACACAATGTCTTTTCATCAACTCAGCTGGCTCATCAACATAGACAAGTCTGAAATGACTCCCACTCCGTGACTCCAGTTTATCTGTGCCCTTTTTTAAACCCACCTGTGCAAGATGTTTGTTCCTCTGGATCGATTGTCAAAGATTCAATGTCTCGTGCCGTTGGAACTCGGACAACCGCTCCTGCTACATCAATGACAACAGATCCTCAGCATTTTGACTTTGATACAAGCTCACACTTTGAGGGGTCATCTTCTCCTCTGGCAGCTCCAGTGCTTCCTCAAGCCATTCACCCAAAGCGATGATTGCCAGATTCCGACCTCCCTACCACCTTAGTTTTCGCTACCGCTAAACAAAGATCTGAGGACATCCCATTACGGGTCACGTCAGAACGACCTTTCACGAATTTTGACCGACCAATGAAATGACTGACAAGAAATCGACATTAGCCAATCAGAAGGCAGCTTTCTCGAGCTTTACGACACTAGTTTCAAACTGGCGACTATGCTTCGAAACATATTTTGATGTATTTATGATTAAGAAAATTAAAACTGATAAAAAGAACATTCTGGAATAAGAATGTTATAATCATAAAACCTGTAACTGTCGTTTGGAATACCCTTGTTAAATATTTCTTGGTTTCATGATTAGAAAACACATTCCGACTGTCACTTTCATGATCTGGTAAGCGATGCTCTGATTGGTTGGATGAAAGGTCGTTCTGACGTGACCCTTAATGGGATGTCCTAAGATCTTTGTTTAGCATAGCGAGAACTAAGATCTGATTTTAATGAGATTGCTTGGAAGCTGTCTTACCACATCATTGCTACCAACAGAGACTCTTCATTCCAGTCTCAACAGCGGCCTGAACCGAAGTTTCTCGTACCACGGTCTCCTTTTGCCTCTGTCCGACCATACAACAGCTTACACCTTTGCCGGATTGTCGCCACTGATCATGTCCAATTCTCATGAGGCTCCAGCTATCATCTCTACCATGGCCTTGCACAACAATTGCACCCTGTCTGCCATCATGGAAGGGTGCTTTTGGAAGTCAGATTCGTTCTTTGATTCCCACTGTCTCTGTGACATCTCTGTTACTGACGTACAGGGCCTTCAACAGTTTGGTCCTTTGTTCCTGGCTCAGCAGCTGTCAACTGCACACCAGTACAGATAACTGTTGCATGTACCCACTCCTGCTCTCTAGTACTACGCTTGTGTATATATGGAATAAATCTTGGAACTTTTGCTCTTGTGTTTATTTTATTTCTTTTTGTTCGTGTTCAAAGACCGAACTCCCTTTTGGAGGGTGGATTAACTTGTTAGTAGAGACTTCAGTCTTCAATATTGAAGTTGATGCAAGGCATGGTTGTTTTGACGGTGTCCTGCTTACCTCTGTCTTGTGTATTTGTTGTCAGATACTGGCTTGAAGGTCCTCTTCTGGATATTGTCGATTGTTCCTCTTTTTGTTTTAGCATGCTTCAATCCCTTGGACGTGACTGATAGCTTTGATGAAGAGATGCCGAGCAGCCGCACTCTATTGTCCATGGGAGATAGTGTTGCATCCTTTCTTGTTGAATCGATTGACTGGAGACCCTTCGGGATCTATTATAAGTCGTACGCTGTTTTGCTTGTTCTTTACAGATACGTGGTTGTTCATGTTATGATGTCATCTGTGAAAACATGTTCTGATTGATATACCTGATTTCATGCTGTTATGTCTGGCTAACGTATTGGGATTGTATCACCAGCTTTGGTGTGTTTTCCGCTCACTGTCTTTAAGACACTAGGCATTGTTTTAGATATGTTATTAAAGTCACTGTTTAGCACCAACTTCCTCCTGTATGTCTCATGGTTGTAGACAGTGGGTCCGCCTTATCTGTTTCTTGTTTGGGTCTGTGCGTGTAGATTCAGTGTGACAAAACACTCGCCACAAGGCTGTATGACAAGAGGGATGACTTCAACTTTCCAATAGTCAACTTCATGTCGAGCAATATTCCAGCAGCTCCAGCCTTTGGTGTTCACTTTTCAACTTTTGAGATACAATCGGGCGTGCTCTTTCTACCAAGATTTCAAAAAGCGTCATATGACTCTTGCTCAGAACTTGTTTGATCAAGGTTACAACATTCAAATCCTCAGTAAAACTTTCAAAAGGTTTTATGGAAGACATGTGGAGGACATTTCCAAATTTGACGCATCAGTGACCAAAATGATGTCTGATGCAATTCCTTATTTTGACTTATGTTCCCATGTTTTTTCAGATGAACAATTGACTTGCCTTTGCATGTGTTTGTGACAGGTGCCACTGGTGGGGTAGGATATGCTCACTTTTTCAAGAACACCTGGTATCATTACTATTTGATAGTGATTTATGAACACATGCTCATGACATAGTTGGAATCGTACAGTCGACTCTGCATTATGCAGATATTTCTATTGGACGTGGAAAATATTTTGTCACTTTATTTTGATGTCAGAGAAAATAGTGAAACAAGTTTAAGCAAGTCCAAACTGTTCACATTTTGGCTTGTGTGTCAGTTATCTCTTGGCTGGTCAAAGCAAAAACAGCATTTACTTTGGTTGTAGAGGCAAGGACTAGGGACCCACAGCACTTCAAAGAGAGGTCACTCGCGTTTGACCCTGCGGCCCCCATTACCCCTGACACTAACCTTGCACCAAGTTCTAAATATGTTCTCCACTGCAGTGCTTGACTGATGAAGCTGAAGTTTGGTATACAGGTTCCTTCTCATCTCATCTTGTTCAAATCAATTTGATTTTATTGTACATTTTGTAAAAAATAATGTTTTCCAAAGTTAATGAAAACATTATTGTTAAAGATCTACAGGGCACAGGAGGTAAACAGATGTGTACAGATAAGGAAAATAAGAAGATCTGAGTCTGCTCAAAATGTCACTCTTTGTACTTAAAATCGTAGTTGTAAATGATGTTGCAAATATACTCTTTTTCCGAAACGTTTTGCACAAATTTCTATAGATCAGGGGGCACAGGTGGCCCAGTTGTCTAAGGCGCCTCAATTTACTGTGAAGAGTTTGCTTCCCTTGGGCGAGCCAGAAACCTAGGATTGTGGGTTTGAATCCCAGTTCGCCCAGATTATGTTCCTAGGTTTGTCAGCACCATATCCATGCTTGTGGGTTTCACTGAAGTGGTAAATGTCTGAGACCTGCATCACTTAAGGCTTTCCTCCCACATTAAGCTGACATGCCGTGATATAACTGGAATACTGTTAAAAGCGGCATTAAACACAAGTCAGTCACTATAGATCATGTTTGTATAAAACAAGGTTGATGTGTCTTCATTAATCAGGTGAGCCACAGATTCTATGGCCTTTTTCATATTTTATGCAAACACCTTTCTACTTAGTAATGTTCTTGACTTTGAATCACTTTTAGAACATGTCCGAGGATCCAGAATAGCACAGAATATATGCAAGGCTTTTGATGATCCAGTGAGTACATTTCTGAAATGGTCTGGCAAGGTTTCTTGCGAGAAGTGTTCTCTAATTTGTTTGATTATATTGCATTTCGTGCTTTGGGTTGAAGGCTAATTTATGGTTTGTGTATTTCTCTACTAAATGTATCATTGTGATAGTAACTTTACAGTCTCTGTTGTCAGTTGTCAAAGGGTTTATAAATAAAATAATAATTAAAGGGCTTGTCTGTTAATTTTATGGTACTATTAAACAGTAAGGGACCAGTCAATTATTATGGGGGTGGGATGGTGAGTGAAATCAGAGGGAATCAGGGGAGGGTCACAAAAAATATATGACAATCTGTAGGGGGGGGTCTTAAAAAATAATAGACATATTTGGGGAGGGTGTGGAAAATAATGTACAATGACATGGGGAGGGTCATCTAAAATTATGTCAGGCATTAGGGGAGGGTAATTATTTTCGGTACATTTGTGTATCAAAAATTCAATTTTTTCAAATACAAAAGAGACATATGCACTACCAACTGCTAGTGAAAGTGCTGGTATTCTAAATTTGCTACTTTTCTTCATTACTTAATATGGAAGCACCAGAATGTGCCCAGTAAAATCAAGTAGAGCCCTTATCCAATAATTCATATAATTGAAAAGTACATCTCATGACGATGGTAGACATGTGACTTTCATGTCAAAGTATATATTAATGGAGAATAGTGAGTGAGTTTAGTCCCGATAAAATGGTTAATATTTTTAAACTGAGGGCCAAAAGAAACTTTACCATACTTTTAAATCACTAGTTTAAAAACCACAAAAGATAGTTGCATGAAATAAAATGTATCGAAAAGATCAAAATCTCAATAAAAAACAACCTTTAAATTGACAGTCATACAGCATCCGATATTGGCGTGACAGTTGCCCTAATTTACGTAAATTAATAGCGTGTATGATCACTCCCTGCTACAAGACATGGAAAAATGTATCACGCATGTGATAGCGTAACATGGGATACGTTGCCATTCTTCTTAGAGTTCCTAGATCAGTTCTTGTTGGTTGACTGGAGGATGTGGTTGCTGTCGAGTATGATGATCCATGACATCCCTCCATGGAGGACTTGTCTGGGGAGCATTCAGGCCACATCAGCACATTGACATTGTTGGCTTCAAGGAAGTTCTGGACAAATTGGGCTGTATGGGGTCTTGCGTTGTCATGCTGATAAATGACACCACATTGCAGCTGTTGTAGAAATGGTAGGACAATCTGATGAAGAATGTCATCCATATAACGCTGAGCTGTCAAATTTCCGTTAATGATGACCGGAGATGCAAAGTATGCTAGTTACCCTGGGTCTGCCTGTTCTGGGCCAGCCTGATGTCTGCTCAGTCTGTCTGTAATAATGCAACATGAAAACAATGAAAGTTCTAGCAATGTGGGCATGGATGACTCCCATCTGTATCATACCCAGGGCGACCCGTGAAGATCCGGCGTAGAATATGTCTTCAGGAACCCATGCGACTTTGCTTGTCGTAAGAGTTGACTAACAGGATCGGGTGGTCAGGCTCGCTGACTTGGTTGATGCATGTCAACATATCCCATTTACATGGATCGATGCTCATGATGTCAATCACTGGATTGTCTGGTCCAGACTCGATTATTTCGGGACCGCCGTCATATATATAGCTGGATTATTGATGAGTTAAACAGCAGACAAACAAACAAACAAACAAACAAACAAACAGAAGGGCCCATTCACATTTTTCGGTTTGGGCAGTGACAACAAAAACAATTGAGTACAATCAAATGTTTATTATATACAAGACATGGCATAAGATTCGGGGGCTGACTCGGTGTTGGAAAGGTAACTTACCCTGCAGGTAAGCTGTATAAAAAGGCAGCCCTGCGGGTTGCACAAGTAAATTTGAAATATATATGAAAATGATTTAGAACCCTGTAGGTAGATCTGAAAAGGTTATACCAGATAAGAAAGGTTGCCCTGCGGGCAATGTAATTTAGAGACCCTGAGGGTCAGTAGAAAGGGTGATACCCTGCGGGTATGAGTGAAAATGAAAATACTTTGGGGGCCGCAAGCCATATATTGATAAGCCCAAAGTGAGGTAAAAACCGAGAGCCCCCCACAAATGACAACTGGAAATAAAGGGAAAAACCTTACGTAGGTGACAAATATATACATCTGTTGTGTAGACATCAATGTTAATAATAGGTGAAAGGCTATGTTGATCACTGCACAAACAAAAATATAAAATTAACCCGTATGTTTTTTTGTCAGTGTGATTGTCTGACATGCCGTCCATGTCATTTATAGACCCTTCTGGGGCACGGGTGACCCAGTTGTCTAAGTCGCCGTGATTTGCTGTGCACAGTTGCGTCACTTGGGCACGCCAGAAACCTATGATTCTGGGTTCGAATCCCTGTTCGCCCCAAGTATGTTTCTAGATTTGTCAGCACCATACCCTTGCTTGTGGGTTTCCCTGAAGTAGTAAACGTCTGAGACTTCGGGCTTTCCTCCCACATTAGGCTTTAACTGGGATACTGTTAAAAGCGGTGTTAAACGCAACTCACTCACTCACTCACTATTGACCCTTCTTGCATGTTTAATTTCAGGTGTTTGGACGATGTGTTTTGTGTTGATTTAAGTGTGAACTGTGTGTGTGTGTGTGTGTGTGTGTGTGACATTGTTACCTAATACTACAATATTGACGTGTGTGTGTGTGACATGGGTGCCTGATGTTACAATATTGATGTGTGTGTGTGTGACACGGGTGCCTGATACTACAATATTGATGTGTGTGTGTGTGTGTGTGTGTGTGTGTGTGTGTGTGTGTGTGTGTGTGTGACACGGGTGCCTGATACTACAATATTGATGTGTGTGTGTGTGTGTGTGACATGGGTGCCTGATACTACAATATTGATATGTGTGTGTGTGTGTGTGTGTGTGACATGGGTGCCTGATACTACAATATTGATGTGTGTGTGACACGGGTGCCTGATACTACAATATTGATGTGAGTGTGTGTGACATTGTTACCTGATACTACAATATTGATGTGTGTGTGACACGGGTGCCTGATACTACAATATTGATGTGAGTGTGTGTGACATTGTTACCTGATACTACAATATTGATGTGTGTGTGTGTGTGACATGGGTGCCTGATACTACAATATTGATGTGTGTGTGTGTGACATGGGTGCCTGATATTACAATATTGATGTGTGTGTGTGTGTGTGTGTGTGTGTGTGTGTGTGTGTGTGTGTGTGTGTGACATGGGTGCCTGATATTACAATATTGATGTGTGTGTGTGTGTGTGACATGGTAGCCTGATACTGCAATATTGATGTGTGTATGTGTGTGTGTGTGTGTGCATGTGTGTGAGCGAGTGCGTGGGCCTGTGTGCGTGCGTGCGTGCGTGTGTGCGTGACAAGGATGCCTGATACTGCAATATTGATGTGTGTGTGTGACATGGTTACCTGATACTGCAATATTGATGTGTGTGTGACATGGGTGCCTGATACTGCAATATTGATGTGTGTGTGACATGGGTGGCTGATACTACAATATTGATGTGTGTGTGTGACATGGGTGGCTGATACTACAATATTGATGTGTGTGTGTGTGGCATGGGTGCCTGATACTACAATATTGATGTGTGTGTGTGTGACATGGGTGGCTGATACTACAATATTGATGTGTGTGTGACATGGGTGCCTGATACTACAATATTGATGTGTGTGTGTGTGGCATGGGTGCCTGATATTACAATATTGATGTGTGTGTGTGTGGCATGGGTGCCTGATACTACAATATTGATGTGTGTGTGTGTGGCATGGGTGCCTGATATTACAATATTGATGTGTGTGTGTGTGGCATGGGTGGCTGATATTACAATATTGATGTGTGTGTGTGTGGCATGGGTGGCTGATATTACAATATTGATGTGTGTGTGTGTGGCATGGGTGCCTGATACTGCAATATTGATGTGTGTGTGTGTGGCATGGGTGCCTGATACTACAATATTGATGTGTGTGTGTGTGACATGGGTGCATTTGCTATCATTTGCTGTCTTTCCCTTGAAGTTTAAATATGGCACATATCTTTGGGATGTGCCCTAACCACTTAACTAGTTGACATCATGATTCATGATTGAAAAGAGACATTTTCTCAGCACTAAGGGGTTGCATAGTGAGGGACCAAGTGGGTTAAAGTATGTCCAATGGATGAAGTTAACAGGATTTCTCTGACCTCTTCTCTTTTTGATACATGCAGTTATGATAAGTTCAAACACTCATTTGTATCCTGATTGTATCCTGATTGTATCCTGATTGTATAATCAACAGTGAATTTAAAATCATTTCAGGTGACTGCTGATTTGAAATTTCTAGTGGAAGACAGAGAAATCCATGTACATAAGGCTATTCTCAAGATCAGGTTAGTATTCTCAGCATACCTGGTTGAGGGAGGTAATGTCACAGCCTGCTTGCCTGGTGTCTGGCATCTGTATGATCTGTCAATGTCTTCTTCAGAGATCCACCAACAATGAAGCTGAGACTTGTTTCTTCCCACCTATGACATCTAGATTTCTTCCAACAGGCTCAAATTTCATCAAAAATTTAAGTCAGTGAAGGGAAAATAATAATTGCTTAATAATGTTATGAAAATATACTTTTGATCATGGCATTATGATTTGCATTCAATTTTGGCCCGCGTATAAGTGGTTAAAAATATTTGTTTTCCCTTTTGCTCAGAACAATTTGCTCTAATTATGATGCAACCCTGCATTTATGTTCATCACAATAACAGGGTTGATATGTGGAAAAAGTCATCAACATTGATCATTTACATTAATTTTGTTATGAATTTAGCTTGTGTGAAGTGATATTATAAAATCCTCGAAGGAGGAGGAGGCATAAGGCTCATGGCTGCTAGAAGGAAATGTCAACATTCACAGTTGTAAATATGAAAATAAAATAAATAAACATTCAGGAAGGTTATAGAGCAGGTACCATTTCTCATCCATATTTGTCCGAAATGAAATGAAATTTGGTATGTGTTTACTTAGTGATGGGTCTCACTGCATGCGTTCCTCTTTTTCTCAATATTTTACATTTTGACCTTGATGTGACCTTTGTGTTTTGACCATGCTTTTATATTCTCTCATAATCCATATTTGGCTCTGTTAACTGCTTCTCTGAAATTACCAGATAAAGGAAGTTGAACTTAGGCATATGTTTCTTCTAATGCTAACATTTTATTTTGTTCAGATCATTAGGATATTATTAGACTTCGTTTTAGGTCCTCAGTAATTATGAAAACCAACTTAGAGACACCAAATTTGTAGATTGGGATTTGAATTGAACCGAAAGTGAGCTAATGACCTGTCAAAGTATTGAGGCCACCAAAGTATCAACAGCAGAGACACAACACTGCTGAGCTGCAGATCCTTCATGAACACATGTCTTCATGTCATTGTAAGGTGGTGACATAATAATTTAAGATGCATGTACTGAAGCCGTTTAATTATGTCCCCATCAGGTTGGATAAGGACCTTTCTTGGCCTACTTGAAATATAGGTATGGATTTTGGTTGATAGGTATAAAATGGGTGATGGGGTAGCCTAGTGGTTAAAGCGTCCGCTTGTCATGCCGAAGCCCCGGGTTCAATTCCCCACATGAGTACAATGTGTGAAGCCCATTTCTGGTGTCCCCAGACATGATATTTCTGGAATATTGCAAAAAGTGGCGTAAAAACATACTCATTCACCTTACTCAGATCAACAACCAACCTGGCATGATCAAGTACATAGTAATATCTACAATATCTGATAAGATAATCAGCTGTGGTTAAAAAAATGCTCTTGTTCAGCTTGTACAGAAACTCTTCCTGAAAACCTGTAAAACAGCCGTTTCGTCACATACACCTTTCGTGTTCGTATCTAAACAATGCCAGTGTTAAATGAACAAAGTCTAGTTCTCATTCATTAGAACATATCTGATAACTTTCTAAAGGCTTTTCAATTTGAAGTTTACACGATATACAACTTATCCATTGGACAAGAGATCAGTCACATGACCGCAAAATTGATGTTCATAAGTGTATGAAAACACATTTTGACGTTCATACATTTTTCACGAGACCGTGTTCTTGAAATGACGTAAACACCAATCTTATTAAAATCAGATCTTATTTTTCGCTACCGCTAAACAAAGATCTGAGGACATCCCATTACGGGTCATGTCAGAACGACCTCTTGCGAACTTTGACCGAATAGTGAAATGACTGACAAGAAATCGACTTTAGCCAATCAGAAGGCTGCTTTCTCGAGCTTTACGACACTAGTTTCAAACTGGCAACTATGTTTCGAAACATATTTTGATGTAGTCTTGATTAAAAAATTTAAAACTGATAAAAAGAACATTCTGGAATGGCTTACAGATGGCCTAGATTGTATGGATATAATCATAAAACCCGTAACTGTCGTTCGGAATACCCTCTGTTAAATATTTCGAGGTTGCATGATCTGAAAACACATTCCGTCCGTCACTTTCATGATCTGGTAAGCGACGTTCTGACGTGACCCGTAATGGGATGTCTTCAGATCTTTGTTTAGTGATAGCGAGAACTAAGATCTGATTTTAATGAGATTGACGTAAATACTGACGGACTACTTCCACATTCCTGGGTAAACCCCTGAGAATTCCCTTGCACTAATACATACAGAAGCGTTCTTTCTGATCATTTAGACCCTTTAATCTTGAACACAGCGTTTCAGTATATATTGAGCAACGTCAGAGAGTTTGACTGCATGATGGTTTATGAATATCTTCGCCACGACCGAACCTTAGTGAACAAAACGAAGAAATGCTCATCCACAGTATCGAAGTATCGACTCGATCCGTGTCTTGGCTGACAGTAACAGTCTACAGCAATCTAATAATTAACACATCTTTAATCAACTTTCAATGATCGACCAGTTGATCAATGATGACTAAAACATGTAACCGCCTCAGGCTCATTAACAACTTCCGTCACGTTTATCGTGTTTGCCATTTTGACGTCTTGTACTTGATGTAAATGTATTACGACAGGCTGTCATTGTGACTAACTTACTGAGGTAGTTCTTATCAGACATTTCTCATCTTATGAGGATATTATTTGATTACATTTATTGTAAAGAAACTACAAAAGTTGTTCCTGTAGAGCATGTTGAGCATACACAAATTCATGTCACCTCTCGTTTTGAGGAACTATTTTATTACGCAATACAGCTGGTTGTTGTATGGCTTTCAGTGTAAACATGAAGTCACAAGTACTTAATATTGTGTAGAGATCTAGATCCTTTAAGGTACAATATAGTGAAGCAAAAAATTATAAGAATTGACTTTCACATTTTGTGAGTTCATTGGAGTATGAACCTTCATAGAGTTTGGCCCTCACTCTATGAAGGTTCATACTCCAGTGAACTCACACAAAGTGAAAGTCAATTCTTAAATATACCAGATTCTGTGGGTCAAAAGGGCCCTTACTATACCTTGTCCACAGTTTGAATTTCTCTATGTCAAGAACCCTTTGCAATTACAAATGAAATAAATCATGGATCCAGTTAACCTTGGCATAAGATGTCAGATTACTTTGCCAAGGTAAACTCTGCAGCCTACTAGCTGTGTTTACCATTGTTTACAAATGTTACTCTTATCATCTTACACAACCCAACCCTGTGTGATTGCAGGTGTGAACACTTCCGCTCCATGTTCCAGTCCTGCTGGGATGAAGATGGTAAAGAGTGAGTTGTTTCCTCCAAACCTGATAATTCCGGCGAATCCTCTTCTTCTATTACATAATAGCCATAAATCCTGTATTTTGGCTTCAGACACACTATAACTAAATCTTCAGATTTCTAACAGAAGTCCTCTTCACTGTCAACTACACACAACTAGTTGTTCCCCGAATAGCACATGTAGCTCTTCAGCTCTTCTGTGCAAAAAGGCGGGGAAAACTTCATGTCTTTCCTGTGTGTGCTAGAGTCAAAACCTGTTTTTTGTTTTTCTCTCTAACACTTGGTATAGGTAGTCACACTGTTTCATTAATTTCTTCAGAAATACTATACTATTTGGTTATGATCTGGCTGGATACGTAAGTATACTGATGTTAGTTTTGTGTGTGTTATCACTTATTATGGCGTCCTCCACTTCCCCGCTGACATGTCCGAAGTGTGGCCAGTTTATGGTTACTGGCAATCCACATAACTTCTGCTGGAAGTGCAGAGAGGACACGACAGAGAGATTCCAAGAGTCTACGATTAACCTGACAGTCAAGGCACATGGATTGCAATTCCTGCCTAAACGAGCACGGGAACCGGCCAGGGATTCCTCTTTCCACGAACCACCGTGAAAGAAGTACATCCCATCAGGAAAAGAATCCTACCAGGCATCCTGGAGTTACGACAAGCCATCATTCCAAACGCCGTGGATCTGGTCATAGGTTTTGAGTTCAGAGGTCACAGGGATAGAAGATGACTTGTTTCTCCCCACTCCAAGTGTCGCAGATCCTATTGTACTGACTTTGTCTACTGATTACGATACACGACTGCCGCCATTCAACATAACGCCGTCTCAGGGTCCAGTGGGAGGGCGTCTTTTGTCATACGCTGAAAATTGGATGCACATTACGACTGACCACTGGATTTTAGACGTTCTCCATCACAGGTACAAGCTACATTTTCTCAAGCGCCCTCAACTAGTATCCCGGTGTCCCGATGGGACGCAGGTTTCACCTGAAGGGTGCAAAACTGGACGCAGCCGACCTTGCCATCAAGACCCTTCTCACCAAACGGGCCATTAGGAGATTGCAGGATACCAGCTAAACTCGGAGGTTCTACTCACCGATGTTTTTAGTACCAAAAAAGAACTCCACAGAGATGAGAATGATCATCGATCTCAAAACACTCAACAAGAAGTACTTGGTCCCACCTCCAAGATTTCAGATAGAATCCGTCAGGAAACTACATTCATCACTCGGAACAGGAGATTTGGTCATCAGCCTCAACCTTCAGGATGCATATCTCCATGTGCCAATCCACCTCACGAAGGTACCTCTGTTTCGTAGTAAATGAAGGTGGTTACGAATTCCAAGTTCAACCGTTCAGCATATCAATAGCCCCTTGGTTATTCACCAGAATAACGGCTCCAGTCATCAACTACTCGCATTTACAGATGGTACAACTTGATGGATATCTAGACAATTTCCTGGCTGCCAATCAGGAACACACCCAGCTGCGTCAGGATGTGACATTCCTCACCAAACTCATGTCTTATCTCGGTTCCTCATCCATACGACCAAGTCAGAGATTTGTCCGGTACAAGACATACCGTATTTTCTTGAGTATAGTGCGCAACTTTTTTCGAAAAAACACAGCTGTGTAGAAGGGGGTGCGCATTATACACGAGTTTGAGTTATGAGTTTGGATGTTTTTTTCCCCCATGGAAAGACATTACCGTGAGCATGAAACACCGGAAATACCATGTCAACAAATCCATACTGAAGTACGCAAACAAATCATGTAATTACACTGTCTGGCTATAAAAAGTGTTCTTCGTATATCTGGACTTATGTTTGTAACTTATTTCATTAATTTTATTCAAAATACTTTTTAATATTGTTTTTATTAATTTCGGCGAAATCGTGTGTGAAGCGATCGGAAGATCGCACAACTCACCATTATTAACAGCAACCACGGTCAGAATACCGCTATTGACGCCTTGAAACGAACTTTAGTTGACAGAGAATGGATACATATATCATAAATGACATACTTTGACTCGTTAAAAGTCATATTTGTTTTTGTTTGACGGTTCTATGTCAACATGAAATTCTCGCGATCACGTGCACGTGAGCCTTGACGGTGACTGGTCAGACTGGTTCCATGTAAAAAATAATACCCGGGAATAGCGATCAGCTGCTTCGCTTAGGGTTATTATTATTTTAAATATGGTTAGTAAAGGCTGCATTTAATTAAGAAAATAATGGAATATATTATTCCTGATAAAAAGAAATAGTTTCAGATACAATTGTTGCCGATCCTTGCATTAAAAATCCTATAAAGTTATATCATCGGGTGTGTCTTGACCGAATCACCGGTCGATTCCAAGAAAACGTGTGTACAGCTGATTGCCGTTTCCGGCTTAGTTTATGAGAAAATACACAAGGTAATCTTAATCCCTAGATATAAAACAATGCCTAGCAGAACAATAAATACTATTTAATCGGTAAATAAACATGTCTGGTGATTTTTTTCTCAAATTTCGAATTTGTACTGACGAAGTTTCTCATCACCCATTCGTTTGCCGGACTTCGCTGAAAGGGTACGGTGTAATTTTTTTCTGCGAATAATATTCAAATTTCTTTTTTTCCAAAATTTTAAACCCGCTAGAGGGGGATGCGCATTATACATGGGTGCGCACTATACTCAAGAAAATACGGTAGTTTACATTGAGGCCAGATTTCTTCTGTGCACGGGATATCTTTGCCTCCCGGAGGACTGGTTCAACAAGCCTATCACCATGATCAACTCAGCCCAAGACCAACCTACCAGATCAATCTGATGGTGGATGTCTCTCATGGGAACGCTGTCCTCTCTACAATATATGGCTCACAGAGGCCGATTACAATTAAGCTCGCTGCAGAATTGGATCAATTCCCTATGATCTCAGAACCTGGATAAACAGGTACTCATACCTCTCCACCTGCGCCAAGAACTAATCTGGAGATCAATGAGATCATGTCATGTCCGGGATTCCTCTCACCTTACCAGCTCCCAAACACCTGTTCACAGACACGTCGGATTCAGGTTGGGTAGCTCACATGACCGACCTCCAAGTTCAGGTTTTATGGACCGAGACAGAAACAGCCCTACACATAAATCACAGAGAGATAAAAGCAGTCTATTATGCTCTCCAGACTTCGAAAGATCACCTCATCAAATCATCCCTGATTGCCACAGACAACATGACACTGGTGGCCTACATTCAGAAGCAAGGCGGAACGAAGTCCCGTTCGCTGTTGACAGAAACTACTCAGCTATTTGCCTTGGCCAACTCATTCAGCTGCCGGATGGAAGCGAGACATATTCCAGGCAAACTGAACATACTAGCAGACAGCTTATCCCGGAGAGGGAGGATCGTACCCACAGAGTGGACTCTTGACCCAGACGTCTTTACCTGGATAACCTCCCTTTGGGACACCCCACATCTGGACCTCGGCGCGACCTGTCTCAACCATCAATTTCCGGTTTCAAGAGCTCTCCAGATAGATGCACTATCCATGGATTGGAAGGGACTGTTCGCCTAGACATAGTCATCCTCATTGCTCCAACTTGGCCAAGCAGGACATGGTATCCCAGACTACTATCGCTCCTGATGGACGAGCCACTCACTCTTCCACTTCGCAAAGATCTCATGCGCCAGCCCAGTTTCCATTTCACCGCCTGGAAAGTATCTCGCAGAGAATGCAGGCCTCCAGGTTCTCTGAAGCTGCCTCTATGGCTGTTGCAAGATCATGGAGATCGTCATCCACCCAACTTTATGACAACAGATGGAACAAATTCGCCCAGTGGAGACAAAGATATGGTCTAACAAATGTCACAATTGACATTCCCATGGTTGTGAATTTCCTTTTACACCTACAACAGGATTATAACTTCAGACATGGAACCATTGAAGGATATAGATCCGCCCTCCATTCCGTTCTCCTGCTCGGTGGATTGTTGATTGGAACACATCTGGTGCTTAACAGACTCATGCGAGCATTCAGCCTAGGGATATTCGCATTCCCTGATCTTCCCAAAATGGAATTTATCAGTCATCTTGTCTGCTCTACTAGCCGCTCCATACGAACCTCTTAGAAATGCTACTCTCCTCCAAAAATCCCGTAAAGCAGCATTTTTACTAGCCATGGCTACTGCATTCTCACTCACGCTCCCAACTGGATGTCCATCACCTTGCGGTCCCTACCAGACTTTATAGCCAAGAATCAGTCCACGGCTACAGGTCGATTGGGTCACAGACATTATACTATTCACGCCTTGGCACCTACAGTGGATCATCCTGATCCCCTCCTTTGTCCTATACGAGCTCTCAAGTTCTATCTGACAGCCACTGATCCACATCTCTGACATCGAAGATGTCTATTCATCTCGTGCAAGACCCACTTTGATAAAGACATCATTAATGCAACAGTTGCGGGATGGCCAAAGACTACCATAGCAACAAGTTATCGGCAAGCACAAGATACTCATCCTACTATGGGTTCTAGCTCTGCCCACGAAATCCGAGCTTTTGCAACATAGCATCCTGGTCATCCGTGTCCGTTGAACAAGTCGTTGCAGGATGCCAATGGGGTTCACACAATAACTTCACTAGTTTTTATTTACGAGACTTGTTGGGGATTTATTCCTTGGGACCTATTGTTGCTGCCCAGGCGATTATACGCCCCTAGTTTTTCCTCCTTTCTTTGAGAAAAAAAAAGGGGTGGGCGGGTGATGGAAGGGGGGCGAGGGTCTGACATCAGCAGCTACAGAAGGTGAGTACACCTTTTACCTTGATCTACTAGTATGGTATATAAGGAATTCAAGGGCTACCCGTATTAGTACAGCTGATATCGATAACGTCAAAGGTTCTGGAAATGACATCTAAACCAGTCAAATAGAGACCTGACGTCATTTAGAACCGGAAGTGATGTTAGATGTTTAGATGTTTTGGAAAGAAATAACGTTTTTCCCGCCTTTTT